AGGCCTTCATTCACCTCCCTTCCCCGTTTCTGCTCCGCTGCATAAGAACACAGCAAAGCAGCTTTTGTATATCGTGAGAAACAAAAAGGTTGGTTTCCCAATCTACATTACAGAAATATAGATTATATTCTATATTGCAGTTTTAGTCACGCGATTGCGCTCGTTGCATGACGTTGCGTGACAAGATCAAACAAAAGGCGTTGACTACGGCTGAAATTTACACCATAAAAGTGTTGAATAAGACACAAAGAGAGGTAATGTTTTGGGGGAAAGAGTTTTTTTTCGCACTCCTACTTTTCGCCTCGCTTTGTTGTTCTATTCTCTATGCGGCGTGGTTCGCTGCACTCTAAAGTTTCTAAGAACAAGTAAGTTTTTGTCATTGAACGCGAGATAAGACTGTTTTGTTTTACTTAATCAAATTTCTTGTAATTGTTTGCGGTTAGACACATTGGAGCCGTGCTAGGGAAACAGAGGTTTTTGTGGCGTCAAAAGTTCGTAGGGATCCTCGTCTTTTTAATCAATCAACGGATTTACTGGACGCGATACTCTGTTTGATCCCGTCTGCAAATTCAAAGAACTTACCCTCGAGAAAGAAAAAAACTACTACCCTTTTGTAAGCCCTTCGTAGATAGAGCGGAAGACGCAGATAATTCTAATTGGATTCGGAAAGAATATTGTCTTGAGAAAGATTAATTGGTTAAGTAGTCGATTAGCGAGTACACTGTTGGCTCTTTTTCGGGAAACGATTTTTTCAAGCCAACTAGAAGTAGGATTTAAACGATGCAAGCCATTCCAGACACTTAAGACATAAACGTAATAAGATGACACGGTCAGTGCTTCAGGTATCACTTTATTTTCGTCAAACCAAAACAAATGAAAGAATCGTGTTGCTCAAACACTGCGCCATATTTCAACAGGAACGTAAGGATAGATTTCTAAAAGCCTCGAGGGATTTGATGTTTATCGGCCACATTTGCGCTTACATCTAAAAAATACCGAAACGTAAGGCTGGTTAATTATGGAAAAGGCATAATACTAAGTAATAGAAAGCATCGAATAAATACCAATATTGTTTTCGTTCGAATTCCTAATTGAAAACATAATAAAAGGTAAACCATGAATGGATTAATGGCTATTAGAAAGAAAAATCCCAAAGAAAAATAACAGGCGATGGGCCTTGGTAATTTATTTTTAGGCTAAGATTTAATTTCACCAGGCTACAAAAGATACTTCTCTTGAAAACTGGAAGAAACTAGAAGCGAAGGTTTACATTTTTTGGATTACTATTTTTGTCGTATATAGTATGACTGTACAGTTTGATTGTTGTAGTAATGCAGCGGAATTTATCTTTTTACCTATTACATTTTGTCACGAGCTTGCGTCGAGAGAGCGCGAATTTCCTTCGGCTATAAAGGCGCATATTGTTATGTGATTTATTTGTTCGCTCGTGGTTAAAATGTCAAAATCAAACTGGGTGTTCATTTTACATAATTAACACCACTTGCCACAAAGCTGTCACGTAATTAAATTACCAGATTAATATCGCTTAGCCATTAACTTTTCCCTTCTGTTGAAGCGAGCCACTGGTACGGCGGTTGAGTACAATAGCGTTGTTTTGACATAACGCATTCATTCAGCATTACGCGAGTTCGATTGCACTGATATGTGAAACTCTAAGCTACGGAGCATTCGTTGCAGATTGTCGGTCACAGTTAAAACATATGTTTATTGAAATATCGCAGGAATAACTCTGTTGGATTTCCCATTGCTTTCGAGATGATCACGATGCTATTGTAAGGATATTTTGTGCTCCTTACTCGTGAATGTATCAATGAAAGATTTGCATCTACGCTGTTGGAAATCTCCGCGAGGATTTTGAAGGCTGTACGGTGTTTGTTACTGTCCGATGAGCGATCAGCGATGCGATGTATTATACGAGCAAAGAGATTGCGTATCTCTCAGAAAGTGTGTTTGGCTGTAATTCCCGCCGCTTGGTTGGTGTTTTTCATCGCTCTCCTATTGTACAATGACCACGAGGTTGCAGGTATGTTGAAGGAGTTGTCGTGTGTGATAACTTCAGCGTAAAAGCTGTTTGCGGAGTCGCCGTAGTGGTCGCGTTAGGGACTCTGCAGGCATGCAGCGAGTGAATGTTCGCCTAAGCGTAGAAGAAGAGCTTTTATACAAACAATGAACTCTTGAAATATTGTTGTTTATTCATCTCCTTGCGAAAGAAGTAGTTTGTATAAGAACTACTGAGCTGAGGACTAGGAAATCTACTTTGAAAAACATGTTCGAATCCTTTGTGAAATGGTGTATTTTGAGCTGTATTCCGTTCGTAAAATAAGGCATATTTTCAAGAAGAAAACTGCTGTTGGTCTAATCAGGCATTTTTGTGGTCGTGTTAAGGTATATTTTGCCATTCTTGCAGTATAGACCGAAGGCTACGCCATGTTAAATAAAGTATTACTCACATAAGATTAATGAGAGAGAGATGTTCAGTTCGGCACGTAGAACTTCGTCGCACAATTGTTTGCACGTGCCTGTTTGGCCTTTGTGAACGATTGTAAGGTTAAAAGACTTGCTATTTAGTGGCTTAATTTCATGACAC